ACGCCATCTATCCTACACGCACATACACGCTTACAATACCTGGTATTCTCAAGCGGTTACCCGTCTAGATACTGCCCATGATCCGCATTGCTTAACTTCGCTAACCGTACGGGGAATGGGTGTTTCAACGTGGTATGGCCGCAAGCCCGTTATAACCCTGCACATCCAAGCATAAACCATATGCCCTTTATAACACCTGCACATAAAAGCATATTCCCAAGCAGTCACCCATGTAGATACTGACCAGGTTCCGCATTGCTTAACTCCGGTGATAGTACACGATCGTATAGCGTTTCAACGCTATATCGACGTAAGGCTGGGAGAGAAAAGATGTTGACAACGCCGACGAATGAGCGGAGTATGAAGAAGGCGATCTAAATGCAAAAAAAAGTACTCAGGAGCCATGAATTATTCGGAAACTGCTAAAGTTATACCGGAAGTTTGTTTAGCATAGCTGGGCCATTTGCTTGGCTTCCATTTTGTCAGCAGGGTAAATAAACTGTCATAAAACGACATGTAAAAATAAATAAGCGCTGAGATAAACTGAAAGAAAAAAAATGGCCGTGAATGAGACAACAAGGCCTTTCTGGGTGTGTTCCCCCGATGATACTGAGTGTGGTAACTTTACTGATTCATGGAAAACTAATTTACCCCATACCAGATGTTAGCCCAGTTGGCAAAATAAAGAACACTCCCTTTTCCGGCGAAAATTATTATTCAGCATTACTTTCATCAGTCAGTACATATACATATTCATATATATATATGTGTTTATGTATGTCTGTGTGTGTGTGTGTATATATATATATATATATATATATAAAACTCTTTAATCTATCTCTCAATTTTCTTTTATGCATCTCAATATATATATATATATATATATATATATATATGTCTGTTCCCATCTATCTATCTATCTACTATCTATCTCCATCTATCTCAGTCTGTTCATATCTAGCATCTATCTATCTATCTATCTATCTATCTCAGCCTGTTTATACCTATGCATGTATCTATCTATCTCAGTCTGTTCATTATATATTTCAGTCTGTTCATATCTATCTATCTATCTATCTATCTATCTATCTATCTATCTATCTATCTATCTATCTCAGATGTTCATATCTATTTATCAATATTTGTTTATTTTTACCAGTTTCGATTTATTCATTTATATATATATATATATATATTGCTTTCTTTCTTTCTTTCCCAAGTGTACGTGTGCGAAAGTGAATGCAACAATCTCATCTTGACTTTAAAACTCGACACGCTAATTTTCGCGGCTATAACCAATATGCTCACAGTTATCTCTCCCCTTCTTTCCCTTCTCTCTGCCTCTCTCTCTCCACTCACACACTCACTCCATCTTCCCCTCCCCCTCTCTCTTTTCACTCTCCTTATATATATATATATATATATATTACTAATTTGACCCCAAGCAAGACAATAAAAACAATAAGAAGCCCGTGTTTACTGAATGCTAGAGAATATGAGAAAGAAACACTATACAATAAAAAGAACAAAAATTAAGGCGACAGAAGATAACCTTTGACATTGGATTTAAGTGTTTGGAGATCAATGGTGACTGAAAAACAAGAGTCCGGAAGAGAGTTCCACAAGCTAGAAATTCGAGAAGAGGAAACTGTTAGCATAGAACTTGCGGTTATATCTAACAATTTCGACTGTAAAATTATGAGACCTTGCCGCCAATCTAGTACTGCGCTTAAATTCATACAGTTCAGGCATCAGAGGTTAAAGTTAATCAGAACAATTACCATGAACGTATTAATAGAAATATCACAAAGAAGTTACGTTATGGTAGCGGGAAAGTGACTGAATGCTTGGTGCCAGGTCAGGACCAATAACATTGCAGATTTTTATTTGGATTTTATCAAGTATCGCTAAACATATAGCAGGATTAGCAGACCAGATGTGGCATCGGTTTTCAAAGCAAGGACGAATGGTAGGCTTATAAATATGCAAGATAGATTCTGGCGAGTAAAAGTGTCTCACACGACACAGGGAACCAACTTTCCTAACGGTAGAGATAGCAAGGGATTCTTTATAATCTTTCTACTTCATGTCCGCGGAAAACGTTTGCTTGATAAGACGCAGTGAGTGATTCTCCTGGAGCTTAGCATCAGTCAATACTTATGGAAGGCAGAAAGAGGTTCTCTTAAACGATTAAAAGATGTTAAAATTAACAAGCCATTCCTTGCCCCAGTTAACAACAGACAGCAGGTACATACATTTCCGTGAGAAAGGTAGAAAAAAGGTTTATTTCTTCCTTGAATTTAATACTTTTCTTTCTGCAAATATCCTTGATTGTTCATATTAAAAGTTTATTAATATAAATATTCATATCAAAAGCTCGCTTTATTTACATTATTCGGACTGTTATCCACGTTTTTATCCACTGGGCCATGTGTCCTTGAGGAGGATGTTGGTTAGATCCAGTGACTGGACCCAAAGAGTTGTGAGTTCAATACCAGACCCCAGCAGTGGTGAACCAAAAAACTTGGAGATTTGAGCTAAAGGGAAACAACTGAGACAACCGGAAGAAGCATGGCACATGGAACTAGAATAATCTATCCCGGTTGACGAAATAAAGGGTTCTGTTCGAAATTCCAATCACCTGAAGAAGGCCGGAGCGTACAACGACTGAAACAGTGTGCATATGGAAATGAGGATGAAGATAACAGCCCGAATAATGTAAATAATGCAAGTAATCATCATACCTCATCTCAGAGATATAGACTCATATTAAAAGTTTATTAATGTTAATATTCATATTAAAAGTTCCCGATAGAATTTATTAACCGTCAATACGCTCTATGTAGGTGAGTTCATTTGTCAAACTACTTATACCTAATTGATGAAATACTTACGAATATTGCAGAGTGATAAAGGTTTTCTCTTGTGTCTGTCTATATTTCTGAGATGAGGTATTATGTACACTATTTACATTATTCGGACTATTGTCCTCATCTTTGTTGCCATATTTATCCGATCCTTCAGTATCTGTCTATATTTCTGAGATGAGGTATTATGTACACTATTTACATTATTCGGACTATTGTCCTCATCTTTGTTGTCATATTTATCCGATCCTTCAGTATCTGTCTATATTTCAGAGATGAGGTATTATGTACACTATTTACATTATTCGGACTATTGTCCTCATCTTTGTTGCCATATTTACCACAATTCTTCAGGTTGTTAGAATGTCGAACTGAATCCTTTATTTTGTTCGCTGGCTGGGGTAGGTAATTCTAGTTCCACGTGCCATGTCTAATGGATGTCAGTTATCGCCTGTTAATTCCCCTCTACAAGTTTTCCACTGCCTTAACCGGGTATTGAACTCACACTCTTTGGGTCCTGTCACTGGATCTAACTAACTCCTATATCCACTGTGCCATTCTCGGTATGAATTTCTGGGTAGTATAAACCTAATGTCTTCAGCAAACATTTTTTACCAGTGCTCATATTGCAATTTTTGCTGTTATCATTGCATTTTTTTTTTTACCAGATCTCGTATTGCAATTTTCATTGTTATTTCGCTTTTCTCTAGCACTCCATATTACTGGTTCCCATATTGTATTCATTCCTATGCTTGATCGGTTCAGGAGATTTTTGTCCCCTAGCATATGTGCTGATTCCTTAAGTTTACGAATTTTGCACGGATGTTCTTTGTCTGATATCCATTAGACATGGCATGTGGAACTAGAACAGTCTACCACAGCGATCGAAATAAAGGATTCAGTTCGACATTCCAGACACCTGAGAAGTGATGAATATGTCAACAAAGATAAGGACAATAGTCCGAATAATGTAAATAGATTTTCTCTTGTTTGTTTTCTTCACCAATTGAACACTTGTAGTTTTTGTTTATCAACACACCACAACTTGTAACTGGAGATTTAATTCCAGTCGGATCCATTACATTCACTTACGTGCTAATACCCTTGGGAAAGGCATGAATCCTCTTCTTCTCTCCCAGCTATGCGTAAACAAGAGGACAGACCAAATTCTATAGCCTTGGATGGCAACTGGTCTACCACAGAAAGAAATGGCAACCTATTGCGGGAAAAAATCCGCCTCGTCAGTCATGTCATGCATCGAAAGATGCATGATCTCGTAACCGTGTATCACGTATGGCACATAACTGACTGATATTTTTACACTTTCAAATAAGTTGTTGGACATTTACACTCACCTTGAAAAAAACAAACAGATTATCAGGTGAATTTAATAAATATAACTAATAAAATATAGCAGCGGCAGTCTGCATGACACGATCGGAAATCAGATCTCAAATTCCAGTTGAATTCATTACATTCACTTACGTGCTAATACACTTGGGAAAGGCATGAAAATTCTTCTTCTCCCATGATTCTATGGGTAAATAGCAGGACAGACCGGGTTCTATAGCATTGGGTGGCATGTTACTCGTCAACCGCAGAATTTTGTATGACAACCTACTGTTGAAAATAAAATTTGTCTCGTCAGTCATGTATATCGAAAAATACATTATCGCCTATCGTTTATCACGGATGGCACATAACTGACTGACTGATAAGCGTCAACCAGCAACAACGACCCCAAACTAAACACAATTCGCCTAAATTTTCAAATCGTTTTTAATATGTATATTGACATTGTTTCCGTGTTAATGACAAAAATATGGCGTTTTTTTTTTCAAAGGCAAATTTTATATACACAAAAATGCTGATAAACTTTGCATCAATATCATTTCTGTCCAGTATTTGTGCAGTGGACGAATAAGATGTTGGAACATGCGGTAATTAATTTATACAGAATGTCTATCGCCAGAAATTGTCAAAAGTTTATATATTGCGCCAATCAAATTATATTATTCTAATTTCCTAAGCTGTTTTCACCAAAAATTGTACCTAAGCGACGAAAAACTGACCAGTAAATGTGAAAATGAAATTTTGACCAAAATTCTTTTGGAACATATTCAATTTCATACT